CTTTTCATGTCCCTCTCCAAGGAATAATCTCTCCTAGCAACATCCCCAAAGTTTGTGAAGTTTCATTAAATTTGCCTCCAAGAAGCCCTCTTGCTGCACCTTCTCCAAAACATAATCTGTTCTTTTGGCAGACTATGGGATATTCAGCATTCTTCTCTAATAGTATAATTCAAAGGCATCAATTCTTCTGTCATCCTTATTGACTCTCTAGCTCTTAGATAGCAAGTGAATGAAAGACCCTGGCCTGAATCAAATGCACTTTAGTTCTCAAACTGACATCATCGCTTCTTAGTAATTTGGAGAAGTCCCTGACTATAGATTTTTCCAATGCAATACATCTCCTGATTTCCTGACTGCTAGTACTGCAAGTGTACTGATTGTGAATCCAAGTAAGATGAAGTCGTTGACAGTTTCCATCTTTTCTCCATCTGTTGTGATGTTGGCTATTATTGGTCCAGTGGCTAGGATTTTTGTTTTCTTGACATTGAGATGTAATTTACATTGAAAATTGCAGTCTTTGATTTTCTACAGCAAGTGTTTCAAGTCTTCCTCACTCTCAGCAAGCAAGGTTGTGTCATCTACCTAAAAAAGGTTATTAAATCTCCAATCCCAGCACCACATTCATCTTCATAAAATCTACTCTGCATACAGGATCTCAAAATACGAAAACACTTTTTGGCCAAATATCCACAACTTCTTCATGTACGTTCAGAGATTGAGGGAGTTCTGATGACATGCTCTATATGGAGTTGTGTTGCTTACCCAAAGGCTTCTCTGGCAGTACAAACCCACTTGTGGCTCAGAGGTAGAAAGATGGGCAATTTCATTGATTTACAGCCTTGGAAACCCAACAAAGAGTCAACTATGAGTGGGTTCTAATATGATGGCAGTGTGTTGAGATTGGTTTTGTTGTTTTTATTTTTTTTTAAGTTTTATAACATCCTTTTTATTGGCATATTTTCATTTTGGGTTTTTGTTGGGGCATTGGTAACAATAATTTGTATTTAGAATTAGTCAGTTGGACTCAGTTTAGTTGATCTCAATTTTGGTGACAACATCCAAAGCATCGTAGTTAGGAGCAAGTTGAACATAGGCCTTCTCGTCTCCATCAGGCCTAATCAAAGTGTTGACCTTAGCCACATCAATGTCATTGAGCTTCTTTATAGCTTGTTTAATTTGGTGCTTGTTGGCCTTGACATCCACAATGAACACAAGTGTGTTTTTATCTTCTATCTTCTTCATGGCTGACTCAGTGGTCAGGGAAAACTTGATGATGCCACAGTGGTCAAGCTTGTTTCTCCTGGGGGCGCTCTTTCAGTGGTATTTAGGCTGCCTTCTGAGTCTCAGCATCTTAGGCTGCCAGAAGGTGGGTAACCTGCAGATCTTTTTTGTGGCTGTGGATGCCCTTCAGGACTGCCTTCTTGGCCTTTAATGCCTTTGCTTTTGATTCCGTTTTGGAGGGGCAAGGGCTTCCTTCTTCACTTTCAGCACCACCTTTGTAGCCATTTTTATATTTAAAAATTGTTTCTGTCATATATATTGTGTTTAATACAGTATTGCATTTACATTATATTTTGTTCATTTACAGGCAATGAGTTTTTTTTAAGAGATAAAAAAATAGCTTTATGTCCAAAAGTAAGAAAAAACCAAACAGAAACATCCTAGGTATTCAGTAACACATGTGGCCAGGAGCATCCTTAGAGAAGAGTATCATGCTCAGACTAGTTCATTGATTAGATCCTATTCTTTGTTATTTTTCTTATCCTTGGCCTATTTTTCCTCTCAATTATTCTCAACTCTGTCTCACATATTTTGGGCATATAGCCAGGAGGGATCAGGCTTTGGAAAAGGATATCATGCTCGGAAGAGTGAGAGGATAACACAGGAGAGGAAGACCCAGGAAGAGATGGATTGATATAGGATCTGGGGTAATGGGGGTAGATGTGTCAGAGTGAGTGAGACTGGCTCAGGACAGAGCAGGCTTCAGAGATGTTGTACACAGGGTCACTATGAGTCCCAGATTAATCGATGGCACATAACATGATTGAAGAAAAAAAACAAACAAACACCTCACACAACATTAAGTGAGTTCTGGTGGCCTAGTCAGTAAGGAATTGTGCTGCCAACCCAAAGGCAGGTGGTTGGAATCCACCAGCTGCAGGAGAAAAATGGGTAATCTCCTCATGTGAGAAAAGCCTCTAAAAACCTGCTGGAGAACCCGCCATTAGTTGGTTCTGACTCGATATTAAATTTTGGTGGTATTCAGTGAATCACTGTACTGTCAGTAAATGACTTTTAAAATTGGCTTCTCATCATTCTGACAACATCCTGTAAGGTTTGGCTTCCCCATTTTTCAAGTAGTTCTTTTCTCCTTTCTCTTTTTCACTGCCTACTTTTCACTAGCTATCCCTCTGCTTTATTAAACCTTTTCACTTGTGCTAAAAAAAAAAATTAGGGGAGCTCTGGTGGCCTGGTGGCAAGGAGCTGCAACTACAATCCCAGAGGTGCACGGTTCAAATCCACCAGATGCTTTGCCAGGGAAGGAGGGACAATCTCCTCCTGTACCAGTCAGATCCGGTACACGTACACAAAAATAATAAAAAAAAATTAAAGAAATTATCTTTTCTATCCATGTTAGCCCCCTTTGGGGACATGGCCTCCAATTACCTTAACTGTGGACATATGGTTTTGCAAATTACCAACAGCTGTTAGACCAATATAAGACAGCACTTTCCACACTGAGAGCGAGCAGTAGAGGGTAGAATGTGGCACTGCTGTGAGGAGACTGTGGCAAAATGTAACCAGGAGAATGCTGGAGATGGTGGCAGTTAAGGGTTTTTCTTGCTGGGTAATAGAAGGAAAAGCTTACTTGTAACTGCTGAGATAAGGTTTGCTGGATGACTGATGGAACCAGAGGTGCATTTTGTGCTGCTGAACGGAAACTGGACTTCTACTAATTCAGGAATTGTGCCTTGTTAACCTGTCTTGGGGGGAGCTCAAGTGGCCTAGTGGCAAGAAACTGCACTGCAATCTCAAATGCACAGGGTTTGAGGCCACCAGTTACTCTGCAAGGATGGGCAATCTCCTCCTGTATGTTTAACTGTCTCTGAAAACCTGCAGTCAGTTCAGCTTTGGGTTGGTTCTGATTCTGTGATACACAACAACAATCTATCTTTGAACTGCTGGAATAAACCTGGACTTGTATAGTGTGATAACCTTGGCCCTTCCCCATTCCCAAACCTATTTCCTTAATAAACTCAAAACTGCGTAAAGTCTAAGTGTTAATATATAACAAACATTGGATCCAAACTGGTAAAAATTGGTGCAGGAGTATGTGGGATGGTGTCTTACCATATATAGCTATTCATACGGTACTACGGATTATATTGATGGGGAAGGTTCCCCTTTATGAAGCGGGTAGAAGTCAGACTTGGTCACTCTCATGTTGTATGTGCTCCTTTGACTATCACAGGGCCACCGATAATGCCTGATAATGTAAATTAGAGGAATGAATCAAAACTTACTCTTTAAAAGTGACCCTGAGTTTTTAAAACATGGTTTAAAATGTAGTGCTTAAAAAAAAACACAAAAAAACTCTATGGCCAGGACAAATGAATACTAAACAAAAGTAATCCCAAACCACTAGCTAATCATTTTCTCAGTGGGACGTTGCCTTGGTAGTATTAAGGATTCTTAAGTTTATTATTCACGTTTCTAGCTTACAAATTTTCAACAACATTATACATTATATTTAGGAAATATGTATCATGATAGAAATATCACAGCACAGTATAGAAAAGAATATTTTATTGAAAGTTTCTCAATAACAATGGAGCAAAGGACAATTTTGACTCAAACCTGTTCACCCAGTCTCAACTGCTAATGAAAAAACTCAAAACACATAGAAGAAAGGGTGGGAGTAGGACCCTTGGGTCCCATATCTGCCAATGTGGCAAAAAAAAAAAAAAAAAAGGGAAAATAAGACAAGAGACAACCATGCCCCCCTTGTCCTGGTAGCTGGGGTGGCAACCCTGGTTCCTGCCACAGACAGAATACTGTAGGTCAGGCTCCCAAGGCTCAGTCTTCGTGGGTAAGGCACCCACCATCCCAGCAGGGCAACACAAGCCAAAAGAACGACCCTCACCCTCGTCCTTCACCTACAAGGCTTGTTTCAGAGAGATCCAGGCAGCACTTTTACATTCATACCATGGTCTCCCCCTTTTCCCCAGGGTCTTGGAATAGGGGCTCACAGTAGAAAGCACATTTTGGTCAACCCCAGAAGGTGAGGGGAAAGCTCTGCCTGGCACAGGCAAATAGGAGAAAGGGACAGGTAGTTCTAAAGACCTGGGCTAAAAGCCTACTGGGAAGAAGCCGGTCTGACAGCCATTCATGCTGCTCTTTGGGTCCCACAGCCCAAAGAAGGCAACTACAGGGCTTTCCCACCTCTTACTTCCTTGCTAGGTGAGTCTCTTCACTTTTCTCCCTGCCTACTCTGACCGCTGGAGTCTGAGACCACTGCATGGCTGCAACAGATCTTGAGTTATTCCAGCCAGTGTTCATGTAAGAGCTCTGGGCAGGGGGCTACCCAATCTGCACAGGAAACCCAGGAGACCATGGGAAAAGGAGACAGACAGAGATGGGGTTCCCTCTTTCCTCCAAGGAATGAGAAGACCTTGGAAGAGGAAAGGAGCAGAGATACTCAGAAATCAAGGCTGGAAACCAAAGCTCTGAGGACAGTAGCCCCCATATGTCCCTTGCCAAGTAGGTAGAGGGCACTGATTTAGTGGTGGAAGAGGAAAGGTGGGAGGAAGGGATGGCCAGAGAAGACAGGAGACCCTCCACCACTCAGGTCTCAAGCAACCACTGTCATTCTCTCACCTATCCACAGGCAAAGAATGAAGACACAATAGTGATTTTCCCCAAAGATGGGGCCTGAATGGTAGGGAGCCAGGGCATGGAGTTGAGGAACAGATTTCGGTTTTAACCGCAGAACTACTCAAGAACTGGTGAGCTGTCCCCTCTTTTCCCTTCTCTGTACCTCCAGTCACAAGTGAGAGAAGGAATGAGCCCCTGAGGGCAGGCTGACCTCTCCTCCTCACCTCAGTGTTTAATAAATAGAGGTGGTGGGAGAAAGGGGCAGGGATGATGGGGAGGTGGGGTTATAGCTCATCATTCTTCAAAGTCCGCTTCTGTTCTGCCGACTGCTCTTTCTGTTCAGATTCTGTCAGGGATAGAGGGAGACAGTGGAAGGAAGGACACAGATAAATATGTCTGTTCCTTATCTGAAATCATCCCTCAGCACCAGGACTTTCCCCACCACCCCAGCTGTCCCCTCACCTGCTCCAGGACGTCCTAACTCCAGAGGTTCATCTTCTATTGGTTCAGGCCCTGTATTTTGGAAGGAACAGGTTAGTCTCTGAGGAAGGGGCTACAGGAGGGGTTAGTAAATCGATTTAGTAAAGATCCAGATACTAAATATTTTAAGATTAATGGACTACATTTAGTCTCTCTGCGTATTATAGTAATTTTTAAACAACTCTTAAAAAATGCATAAAGACCTTTCATAGTTAATGTGCCACACACAGCTGGCTGATCCCTTGGGCTGACACAATTCCCAAACTGTTTGTTCAACTCACCAGTCTCTGTCCCAGGTTCTGCAACAGGTTTTGCATCTTCAGCCTGACCTAGAATGACACCAGGAGCAAAATGTAGCCCCAAGAGGGAAAGAAGAGCTTCTCCCTGCCCTGCAGATCCTAGTGCCAGGCACCCTGTCCTCACCTGGCGGAGGGATGACCTTCTCCCCCTGGTCACCAGCACTGGCATTGAGGGGAGGCTCTACTCGGGTCCCATTCTTGTCCTTGGGCCGTGGCCGTGGCTTGGCAAACTTAGCTTTATTGAGCAGATACTGCACTTCACGGTCCAGAGCCATCATTTTGGACTCAATGTCTTTTGAAAGCAACACGGGCTTCTCTGTGGCAGGCAGCTTGGCTTGCTCGGCCATGGTTGTGTTCTTCCAGACCTGTGGGCGCGGCAGGACAGGTTCAGAGCTGATCTCCAGCCCTGAGAATTTGCATCCCTAACTGGTCTCAGGATCCCTATCTTCAAATTGCTCTGCCACGATGGCCATCAGCCCCCTGGGGGTTAAGTAGATTCAGTCTGGGATTCAAAGTTCTCCACAAAAGAATCCCACATCACACCATGCAAGCCTGTGTCCTGTTGCTCTAAAAGAACTACAGCTGTATGTACATCCCCATACATCCAAAATGGCTTCTGCTTCATGTAATAAATCAATCTCACCCATCAATACTCTGGCCGGCTCCTCAAAGTAGTTTGATTTAACCTCGAGTGGATGAGGTTTGATCCTCCAGTCTCAGGAGACTATCACCCTCGTTTGGAGCTAATTAGACATGACCTCAAATGCAAACATCTCTTACTCTCTCAATTAAGAGATAAGCCAGAAAGCAGAAGCTGCTGTATCTCTGATTCTCTCATGAGACCTAGATAGTGCACCAAGTCAGGTCAGTGTTTACAGAAATTACCCAGGTCTCATTGATGACTTTCTCCAACGTTGTCATTTCCACCTCTGTGAAGATCTGGTCCATCTCTGGAATAAGCCGGGCCCCCCTAGAAGCCAGAGAGGGGACAGTCAGTCCCGGAGAAGAGCTAGAAGCAGCCTAAAGTGAGAACAATGAAAAACAAAAGTATGGCAAAGCAGCAACTCACTTGAGGAACATGCTGGAATGGTTGAGGAGATTATCGAGAGCAGATAATCGTTCAGGCCACTTCCTGCGCTCCTCTACCCGGAAAAAGAGCCCTTGGCATAGCTTCTTCAGCTCAGTCAGCTTCTCCTTCAGCATCTGTCAAGTTTGGGTAGTGGTAACAGAAGAAGGGTTAGGAGACAGCCTGGTGTCAGGCCCGTGTGTCCCTCTTTAGGATCTCACACCCAGATCTTCCGACACTGTTAGGCCTTGAGGCAGGAAGAAGTCTCCCATCCACTCTCATGTCCAAGGGAAGCCCCTCACCACTGTGGTGGCCCCGAAGCCCTCATCCTCCAGCCAAGTGGAAGCAGCACTGAGCTTCCCGGAGATCTCCTCACGATGCTCCTCAGTGGACACTTCCTGGTACTCGGGCTGGTACAGCTTGTCCTGGGGAGGCACACACGTCACCATGCATGCCCTTGGCCTCTGAGGGCCAGGTTCACAGAGCCAGTCCTGCCCAACCCAAGTCTCAGGGAGGGTGCTGCCTCTCAGTCTACCAACCTGGGTCTCAAAGATGAATGCTTCTAGGCTGTTGGCGGCTTTCTCTCGTTCCTGCTTCTCGAGGTCTCGGAGCGTCAAGTCCTGCAGTCTATGAGATGAGAGGGAGGATAAGAGAGGGTCAGATCTGGGACCCTGGGTCAGATGCACGCGTACGAGCGCGCGCACACACATTTGCAGTCCTTACTTCTGCACTGAACGAACAAGCTCGTCCTCTGGCAAGTCAGGCAGATCCAATACAACCAGCTCCACTCCAATCTCCTCCACAGTTTTCTGTTTCCGGGCAGGCTTCTGCTTCTTTTCTTCCTCAGGTACTGGAGGGACACGCTCAGGTCCTGCCTCTTCCTTCTCACTTGGCTTCTAGGACGGAAAAGACATATATCAGGAAATGCCTAGGCCTTTCTGCTTTTCCCACAGAGCTGGGCTCCAGAGCATTGGGGGCAGTTTATCACATATATGCTCACAGCTTACCTGGGTCTCAGGTTTCTCCTCATTTTCTTTTCCTGTAGCTTTCTCTCCATCAGGGGCTGTGTCCCCTTTAGGCTCAGGTGGTGGAGGCTGAGAGGTGTCCCCTGACGGGGCCTCAGCTTCTTCCTTGAGCTCTGCTTGCTCCCCAGCATCATCTTTATTCCTTTCAGCAGGGGCTTCCTCTTCCTCCTGAAAACAATCCCAGACAATAGTCACGAGCAGAGCCTATGCATCAGGACTGGCCTCGCCAACACCAAAGCCCTTAGGTTCTGTTTGGGAGTCCACAGTAGTAGATGTAACTGGAAGTAGAACCAGAGGCCACTGTATGAAGAGTGCGCAGGCTGCTTGGACGGTAGCAGTCTAGCTGGACCAAGACAGAGTCTGGAGATGAGGAAATGGGTGTTGGTGCCTCTGGAATAAGAAATTCCTGGGAGTCCAAGGGAGCATGAGTATGGTTAACCCACCATGAATAAGAAGGAGGAAGGCTACAAAATGCTAAGTCACTGGGATGCCCACCCCAACTCAGCCTCGACTGTCACCACTTGCTCACGCGGGGTCAACCTCCACACCCCCGGCTCTATCCGGGCTCACCTGGACAATATCTGTACCATTTTCTTTGGCATCTGGTGTGGAACCACCTCCAAACAGGCTAGAAATAGTGTTGCCAAGTTCTAAGGGAAGAAAATATTAAGATCCAAAAGAGGCCACAGCAGTGACTCCACTATGTCACACAGGGGAATACCCTGAGCGCTACCCCAAACATTCTCTTTCAAACATGCACACACTTATATCCAAGCTCATCTTACTGGTAAGCGTGGACTCCTCCTCTGGACTGTCCTCCACCAGAGTTTCAAAAACAGACTCGACCTGCAAAGAGGGATTAGTGATGAAGACACTAGTCCTTCCACAGGCTGACCTACCTGTGCTTGCAATACCCTGGGGTAGGCCTACACGTGCCTGTTGGCTTAGTTACCAGCCCTGCGGCTTGCCTCTCACCCTCTTTCCTGTAAAGACTTCTAAATCAAGTCACCTATCCTCTTTGATTCTTAGCACTGAGAATAGTAGTAGCAAAGCTATTTTCTCTCCCCCCAGAGGCCTGACTTTTCCATTTAACAACAGTGCATACCACTGTTTTTCCTAGTATGTTTCAAAGGATATCAAAACACCACTGTTTCCAAACATGTGTTCCACAATCCCTTTATATTTCCTCCAGAGAAGTTCACAACACCCGTTAAGTTCTTAAAGGCTCCATGAAGGCTCTAATACTCTGTGGAAACGGAATTGGGAAAGACCAGGGGGGCCTGGCCTTGACCTTGCATTAGGGGCTCCTGCTCACCCGGTCTAAGCTCAGCACGCCACTCTCGTCCAGGTTGAAGTGGGCCTTGATGCCTTTGGACTCATAGTCAGGATACTTCTTGAAGCTCTCACCCACGCCTTTGAGCTTCACTGTGGTCAGATTCTGGGAGCCAAATACCCTGGTTAGAGAGGAAAGACAAATTAAAGAAAACTAAACCAGGCCAATTCCACCCATAGACAGTAGCAGCTCCAGAAATAAGATGTTAAAAGACCTCCCCCAGGACACTTTCAGGAAGGCAGCTCCTCACCCAGCCCTAACCCCCAGCCTACAGGTCCTAAATCCTCCCTCATCCTCAATTCTCAAGTCTCCTGGCAGCCTTGTTCCTGCTACATCCTTTTAAAAAAAGTAAAATTTTATTCTAAATGTGATTTTAATGAAAATTTACAGAAAGTTGGATTTTCATTCATTCATTGTTGCACATTTTCCTCCCTCAGTTCACTCTCTTTTTTAAATATTCATTCATTATTGCACATCTACCCTACCCTCCCACGCACCGAAGATCCTGAGGACCCAGGAAGCCCAGGTCACCGTAGTTGATGTGGAAATGGAAATCGTTGCTGTAGCGGTTAAAGGTGATGACTTTGCGTTGAGGGTATGGTCCCATCCGAGAGAAGAGCACTCGTTTATTGTGCTTTAGGCTACGAACTCCAGGTTCCTCCTCCATCTCTCGTGTGAACTCCACCTAAGGAGTGACAGAGAAAAGACACACTGGAGAAGGAGAGCAAGTTCTGGAGTAACGGGCTGGGGGCATCCTCCAGCACACAAAAAGGGAGAGGCTACTCTGCCGGGGAAGGAGGGACAATCTCCTCCTGTACCAGTCAGATCTGATTTGACGGTACACGCACACAAAAATAATAAAATTTAAAAAAAAAAAGGGAGAGGCTAGAGCAAACAGAAGGGGAAATGACAACATCTGGGAAGGTAAAGGGAGCCTGCCACTTGACAGGGATGCTTACTCACCAGAATAGGGTAGACTACTGCATCCCGAACTACAAATGGCTTCACCTTGAAGGCTTTGCTGAGGGCAGCTGCCTGGTACACAGCCCCCATTGCAGCAGCTTCATCTGCATTAATGTTCTTTCCTAGCTCCTCCCTGTGAGGATCCCAGGTTTCAGGATTTAACCACGATGGAGAATGCCGCCTGACACCCTCCACTCAGTCCACCAGATGCCTAGCTCACAAGCCCCAGCTCCCAGGCACAACCAGCCCTGAGGCTCCAGGTCTCACACTCACTTGCCCACGGCCTTCAGCAGTACCTCCTGGACTTTGGGCACTCGAGTAGCTCCACCTACCAGGATCACCTGCTCAATTTCATCCTGCAGAGAGAAAACACAGGATGAGACAGCCTGCAGTTAAGCTCCTCTTCCTCCTCAGGACTGACTTCTCCTGATGTCTGTTCCCTCTTTGCCACAAGCTAATCTCTTTCTAGTCTACTTGTTCCTACCCTCTCACCCCCACACTTCCCTCTACCCCCTCACCAAGCTCATCTCTGCACTCTGGAGGGCATGCTGCACAGGCCCTGGCACCCGCTCAAACAGGTCCGTACACAATTCCTCAAACTCTGCTCGAGTCACTTTTGCCTTGAAGTCCACATCGTCCATTAAGCCCTCGATCTGGGGAAGGATAAAAATTGTCAGGGAGTTCGTACCACATCCTGCTTGCTTTGTGGGCAGGACAGAGACTGAGAGACAAGTGCTTAGGAAGGATGTTGAGAGGAACAGCAAGAAGCGCAAAGGTAACATAATTAGCTCCACCCTCCATGTGGGAAACATTCGTCTTTAACCAGTTCATCTGTGGGCACCTGGGCCATGTGATCAGCATTAGCACTCAGGACGGTCTTGAGTCTGTTGGCCTCACGTAGCAGCTTGGCCATAGCACGAGGGTTTTCCCGCACATCCTTTGATTTCTGGCCCTTCCGTTGCTCATTGAAAAGGCCAGCCAGATGCTCACGCAGCCGGAGCTCCATCTCCAGGCCCCCCAGTGTGCGGTCAAATCTATCAGGGAAAGGAAGAGAAACCATGAGGAACATACAGAATGCTCTCATCTACAGAGCAGCCCATTCATGCCCATAGCAAACCTTTCCTTTGTTTTAGGGGGCCCTGCTCACCCTCAGCACCTCAACTGTGGACACATGATCGGCTCTCTGCCTCCCCAACATAGCTGACCCCATGCTGCAGTAACCTATCCAATAATTTACCATACAAAACAGCATTTACTAGCCATCTGTGAACTCATCTCAGAGATATGATCATTAGAGAGGAAAAAAAAATCCCTACTCTCAAAAACAATAAAGTTGGCTCAAGATAGAGCAGGGTTCAGAGCTGTTGTATATAGGGTCTCGAGGAGTTGCAACTGACTCGACAGCACTTAACAAAAGTAATCTTAAAATAACCAGATGCTATAAAATTACAACATATTATAAAGGAGGGAGATGACACTATGAAAAAATGTTCACATGAAATGTGAGCTGTATAGAGACATCAAGAAATGCTTTGCTGAAGAAGTGACACTTGAACTGAAACCTTAAGGATGACTTAGAACTAACATGGTGAGGAGAAAAGATAAAAACATTCTAGATTGAACAACCATCTGTACAAAGACCCTGAGACACAAATGTGGAGATAAAAGCTTCAATGGAGAGTATTTCTGGACCTCAAAAAACAAGAGGACTGATGATTTGGGATAAGCTGTACAAGGGCTCAGGGCTAGACAGGTTCAGCCTCATGGGCCAGGGTAAAGGTTTAGAGCCACTGAAGGGCATTCAAAGAAATGAGTCATAACCTGATTGGCATTTTGAAAAGAACTCTTGACTGCATGTGGAGAAAGAAACTGGAGGGAGGTCACACTGAAAGCAGGGAGATCTTGTGTAAGCCTGTAGGTAAGAGGTAACAGTGACTTGAACAAGGGTAGGAGTAGTGAAAAGGCAGAAAAGGATGAATTCAAGAAACAAAACACAGCATTTATTTATAATGGGAAGGAAGGGAGCCCAAAGAGTTTGATGTACCATACACACCTTGCAGTCCTATCTAATTCCTCAGAAGCTAATTCAGGGAATTCCCTGCTTTTCAATCTCCCTCAGCTATCCACTCCCTCCATCTCCCCTTTGTTCTCTGTAAGAGGTATCCAGAGGGATAAAAGAGTATTCCTGCAGGAAGCAGGAAAGTCAAGTACTCTTGCCCTTCAGAAGAAAAAGCCCTGAGTCTACTCACCCAACTCCTCGGATCTGTAGCTGTGGCTGCATCCCTGCCTCCTTGGTCTTCACTGTCTGGTAGGTCACAATGGTGCACACGGTGCTGCCTGAACCCATGTCATAGAACATGACATTCTGTAGAGGCATCAAGGCAATGGTCTCAGGAACCTCATCCCATCCTATGATACAGGCTTGCCCACCTGCTGGCCTCTAAAAATGTTGCTTAAATCTCAATCTAAAGTCTAAGCACCTCCTCAGAGGCTGAGAGGAGTTGTTGTCACATTGCCAAGGGCCAGTATGTGCAAACAAGATGCAAAATGAGCCAGCTGCCCTACATTCTCCTCAGAATCAGCTGCCCGACCTGTCCAGTCAGGGCTTCCTGGCTCACCTGGGCAGTGGTATTGATATCTTTCCTGCGGAAAACACCATAGCTGAGGGCAGTGGCAGTGTTGTCATTGATGAGCTGTAGCACTTTGAGACCAGCCATGCGAGCAGCCTGCAGCACAGCTCGGCGCTCGGCCTGGTTGAAGAAGGCCGGCACAGTGATCACCGCATCCTTGATGGGCTGCTCTACAGAGGACAACAGGTCAGGGTTCCCATCAGCTCCTTATCTTAAACAACAAACTCAGTACTACTGGCATTTTGAGACGTAGGATTCTTTGTATGGAAAACTGTCCTATGCAGCATCACTGCTGGCTTCTACCCACTCGGTAAGAATAAGACTTCCCCCATCCCCCAAGTTGTGGCAACCCAAAATATTTCCAGACATTTCCAAGTATGTCTTCAAACTCCAAAACATTTCCAAAATTGCTCCTGCTGGAGAACCATTGCTTTAGACCCCAGGCAACAGCGCCTTCAGAGGTCCTACAGTGGCCACTCACCTGCAAAATCTTCAGCCAGGGAACGGGAGTAATTGAGAAGCATGCCCAATACCTCCTCAGGTGAAAACTGCAGCTGCCTGGGTGAAAGGGAGAGGAGAGGAGTGAGTTAGAGGCAAGAACAACCGGACACTGAGGCAGGATGATCAGGAGCTAATGGTACTGAGGAGCCTGCCTTCTCCACAAGAACACTCACGGGCTAATCTGGAAGTGTACAGTCTGTCTCTGGGGGTCGACACCTAACTCGTGCTCTGGGAAACGTGTCCGGTGCAGGGCCACATGGGGATTATCTGCCTTCTTCCCTAGCAGGTGCTGGAAGTACCGCAGTGTGGCCTTTGGATTCTTGATGGCCTGAGAGTAGGTGAAGAAGCGGCATAGTATTAGCCCATCATAGCCTACCTCCCGAAGCACAGAGAATAATATGGAAACAGACCCTGGGGGCCAATAGCATCTCTTTTCCACCGCTACTCACCATGCTTGCTGCACTGTCTCCAAATAATCTTTCATTTTCTTTCAGAGTTACTGTTACTGGGGTTTTCCTCCGGGATTCCCTGAGGAAAAGACACTGGCCTCAGGAGACTAAAAGTTTATGTACTTGCTTAGTAGAATGAAGATTCTGGACCCTGGACATCTGCCACCTCCCACTCTCCCCCATCACTCAGATACTAATGTCTGTTATGTGAACCAAATCAACACCTCTACTTGGAGCCTAGACCCCTCTCTCTCTATCCCAACACTGGGACCTGCCTTACTTGTTCAAGACAATTTCCATGGGCACCCCAGGTTTGACAATGGCCACCTTCATCGACTCACTGCCCAGGTCCACAGACATCACTGCCAGTGTGTCTGAAAAGAAATGGATTCAATTAATCTTTCTCCTCCCTCAATCTCCTGAGCATATCTCCTAACCAAAGCATTATCGCTTCCTAGGAAAAAGAAAGATACCGAAAGATAGGGAAGTAAATTCTGGATACATCAAGAAGAGTCCAGAGTTTTCCAACTAGAGCACTTCACTCTCCCCTGCACCCATTCATTCCCATCACTACTTCTGAGCCCTCTGATGGGGTGCATACCACTCAAAGCCAACAAGTCTGCCAAGAGCACGGTCATCAAAGCCCAACAGGCTAGCCTCCTCGGCCTCTGCCTTCTGAGCGCGGCTGTCATCATGGCCCTGGAGGAAACCAAAAAAAAAGTAACTAGATGCACTGAATGAGGGAGACAGATCATGACCTAAACGAGAGATCCATACCTATTCCACTCTAACCCTGGGCACAGTAGTCTATAAGTGGGCCTTCCTAAGTGATGAGTACCAGCCACTGACTTAACCATTTCTTGAGGAACCCAGACAATGGCTCAAGGCAAAGGACACTGGTCCTCTGTTCCACCACATCCCTAAAGAAGCTAAGACACAAAGGAGACCTGAAACTCAGACCCACCACAGGCTATACATGGGGCATCCCAACAGGGCCCCTGATGTCAGACACATGGGGTTCGGCTAGGGATCCCCACCCAAAGCTCAACTACCTCTCTACACCTGGAGCTACCACACCGGCAAGGAAAGCCAGTCTGGGCCTGAACAGAAAAAAGAGATAGTGACGTTGTGGAAAGTTCGGATGGAAGAAGGGCCTACCTCCTCCACGGCTGCCTTCCTGGTGGTCTCACCCGCCCCCCCTTACAAAAGGTATCCGCAAAGCCCCTCCCTGGCCCCTCTGCCCACACACATCTGTGCCTGGAGCGTTAAGGTTCCCGGACCAAGCAGCTACCAACGACTCTGTGTTCGCCTCACCCTCACCTGACGAAGGCGGCGGCTCCCACACTCGGAAACGAGCCCCGAGCAACCCCTATCGCGTGGAAGCGAACCGAGGAATGAGATGCGGGGCCCAAAGTACCGGGCCGAAACCGGCCGGTGTCCGCGCGGCCCTCACTCCCGCTGCTGACCCGCCCCTAGATCTAACACGCTGCCTCCCATTGGAGGGGTGGCCGGCGCCCGGCTCCATCCCTGGCCCCGCTACCTCTTGCCTCTGCTCCACCAGGACAAACGCGCCAGCCGACGTAGCCCCGAAGCCGGCAGCGCGCCCCCAAGCCCGCGCCCTTCACAACTCCCCTGCTCTGCAAACTGTTACATTAGCCACCAACCTCTCGGTGGCGTCTCGCGCACCAGCCGGCCCCGGACGCGGCGCGAGCTCATTGGAGCCTGTGCTGCCCTGACCTGCGCCGCGCTCCTGGCCCCGCCCCCGTCGGTCCGGCGCGCCCTCCCATTGGGCCACGTCCTAGGCCCGCCCCCTTCGTTGCCTTGTCTCCCCCCCCCAGCTCGCCACCCCCCAGCCCGCTCTGACCCGAACCCGCCCCCCCCCCCCCCCCCGCAAGCCTCTGCCTCCGCGGAGGCGGCGGTGCCAGCGCACCGGTAGGGTTAAAGCAGTACACGTTTGCTTGGGATTGGACCACGTCATGGCTCGAAGCTTTTTCGTTGTCTCCTCTTCAGCACCGGCCCCGGTCACTCGTGGGACCTTTTTTGCGTCCTGCATCAGTGCAGGGCCTCGGAAGTGAACGAGGTCTCCCACAGTCTATACACAGGCAACCACAGGCTGAGATGTCTTCTTACGGATACCTGGGGCGCTCTGGCCAAGAAATGACAGTGATGGACATCCCCTCCGCAGCCACGCGGAAGTGGCACTTGCTTTCTGGTTGGTATTCAACTGCCTCAGGCTTTGGCTAGATATCAGAGAATATTAGTTCTTCAGGATCTGTTCACCCCAATTCTCCTGTTTCATTGAGGAAATTTATGCCATAAAAACCCCAATCACTATTGAGTCGGAGTTTACGCTTCATTAGCGACAGCATTTGGCCACGATTCCTAAAGCCCAAATGAACTCTAAAGCGCCACAACCAATGATTTTTATCAGTGAGGCTAAAATAGGGTGAACTTACATCTCAGCCACCACCTTTCATTTCTGTTCCATTAAATTGTGTGAATCTTGTCTTTCCCTCATTCTGTTATTAAACACCTTGGGCAAGAGGTACTCTGTTACTTTACTGTCTTAAGCGCATTCTACTAAATGTAAATTAGTCGCATTGTCTCCCCTCCTGATAAACCAACGCCTCTGCATCCCTTAACAAAAACCTCAAGGATCCAACTTGCATAAGCAGGGTTCTCTACACTGTTCATGATGCTTGGATGTGGAGAGGAAAGAGGAGGTCAGGACTTTGATTATATTCTTTAAAATGTATAACTATCCTTTACCTATTTCTGAATTGCTTCTCTCCCACTTACATACACTCATGCTCATTAAGGTCCATATGCAGTCTTTCAGATTGTTAGTTTTGTCTCATATAGAGGCTTACCTTACAGAGTTCTGTTCTACACCCCCTCAGTAAATATAGCAACAAATTGAGTTATACGAATTCTCTGGTTTCCAGTGCACAGAATAGTTATGTTTACATTGTACTATATAGTCTTGTCTATATAACCTCCCAGAGCTCTCACTACTGTGCTACTGGGTCCTAGAATCGTTGGAATGGCCACACAGATCACACAGAACTACAGAAATGGATATGGGTTGTATTAGGGAAGTTGACAGGTTTCTAACTCAGGTTAAAAGAGTCAGTGCAACTGTTCAACTGTGTGCACAGATTCTCTGATCTTCAGTGTTACAAAATTCTCTGAGTTCTGCCAATTACAGCATCTCCCCTGGTCCTGCAAGCTTGGCTGAAGGCCCTTGGCTCTCCCTCTGTGGTGTAGCAGTTCCAGATTGTTGTTGTGTTGTTGTTGTGATGTGCCTTCGAGTCGCTTGCGACTCATAGCGACCCTATGTACAACAGCCCTAAACTCCGCTCTGTCCTGTGCCAATCGCACTGTCTCTGACACT